CCCGCCGTAGCGGCGTGTGGCGGCGCGGACGCATCCACAAGGGGTTTTCTCGCCTTTTCCCTGAGAAAAAGGCTTTTAGCCCGGCTGGGAGACGGGAGTTAGCGAGACGAGCTGTGCTGTGCGAACAAGCCACTCGGTAACTTCGGAAACTACGCCGACGCCGTAGGAATTAATGCTATAAAAATGACGAGATTGGGGAGGGGGGCGGGGAAAGCGCTTTCTGTGACGGTTTTTGACTTACTCACCTTTTTAAAGATGCACTGAAGTCCTGGGTAAGACTTGTCCCTCACCTTTCCTGATGGTAGCGTGAAACACCTGCATATGTGCAGACTGTCAGGTCTAACTTGTCATGTTCAGTACTCCTCCTAATGAACGAGAGGAGCCTGTTTAACTGTTGTAAAAATGCAGGAAAAGTTATGGGCCGTTCAGAAGGAGATAGTCTCCTTTTTTTTGTGGTGTTTTTAGGTTTTTTGGCAAGAGGCTGTGCTTAAAATTGAGGATAGGAGTTGCTGGGGTGTCAGTTTGTTCACTGATGCATTCTTTGGCGGCTGATAGCCAACCGATTGGCCTCTGTCGGGTTTGAGTATCTCTTTTTAAAATTTCCTGAGCTTTTTTTCAGTTGGCGGCAGATGTTGTAGGAAGTAACTAGTATGGCATCTTTGTATCTTCATTTGAGAAACCATTGCTTTTGCTTTAAGTTTCTTTCATTGTTGCTTGCTCCCCCCCCCCCCCTAAAATAACAGGAAGACTGTGACTTCGTGCCTGGGACTGGATCTCTAAGTATCTTCAAAAATTTTGACACTCGGTGTTCTAACTGCAAATGTAACTTCCTAGACTTTAGATAAATGATCTGGGCTGAGACTTGTCATTTTTGGTTTTTGTTCAATTCGGTGCTGGTGTTGTGTGGTACAAAATAAAAAAGAAGAACCCCGTTCCTCAACTAATTGATGATCTGTGGTACACGATGGCCTCTGGTTCATGCTTGTCATGAAGTCAAAAGGACGTGGGTGTGGGAGACTCGTTTATGGGACTTGAAACTAGAGTTGTATAGTAATTAAATAATTACACCATCGGTGTTTTTTGACTGCCATTCTTCCTGGATGCTTTTTCTACAGCTGCAGGGAAATCGACATTTGTGAATATTCTCAAACAAGCCGATGAGGAATGGGAAGTTGTTCCTGAGCCTGTAGCTAGATGGTGCAACGTTCAGCAAGACTCTGAAGAGGATTGCAAGGTGCGGTAAAAGAAAGTAATGTGAAACTTTTAAAATATAAAAACCCCAAACACAACAAATCCAGTCAAATACTTTTCTAATTTCAGAAGACCGATATATCTGATAGACTAGGTATTTTAGATAAGGTATGTGATAGCAACTTTTTTGCTGATGCTTATCATCATATCCGAGTTCCTGTTTTCCAGTCTGCTCGGTGTATGTTAGAATAAATGAACATCAGGATGTAAATTACAAAAGCGGTAAAAGCCTGTTCTATTTTATGTATAAAAGCAAGGGATGGAAAAAAGTTAGGGCTCTTAAAGAAAGTTAACTCCATCCCAGTCGGGTCCAGTAACCTTAACATAAAATTTCAAATCCGTCATCATCGTCCCTGAAGTTGGACTTAGTAATTTGCTCTTTTCTCCTTTTGTTTTGACTGGTTTGCAGAAATATGACATTGTATATGACTCCTGAAATTAGTCAGGAAACACTTAAAAAAAGGTTCCCAAAGACAAGACTGTACTCCGTGCGTAAAGCTGTTTGTGCATGTGTCTGTAGGTATCTTACAGTCTTGTGTGCATTGTCAATAGCTTGTAACGTTCTCCTTGCTGTTGGCTAATTCATGCAGTAACAGCAGCAGCTGCTGTAAAACAGCACAGTCCTGCACACCAGTTTGCTTTCTAGTAAGAATATTGCACAGGCTGAACAATAGGCCTTTGCCTATCTTTTGCCCCTTTTCCTTCCTTCCCTTTTCTGAGAAAAGTTATCAGCATTCAAGACCTTGATTATTGCTTTTTTTATGTAGTTTAATACCAAAAAGTAGACTTTCACTTTTCCATCTTTAACAAAGCTGGTACTTTCATCGTCCCGCAGTACCGGAGGCGGAGGGCAAAAAAAAAAAAAAAAAAATTGGGAAGTTCATTTTTACGTGTGTGTGCGTGTGTTCATAGAAAGTGGCGTGTCTTACTGCTTTTGTAGGTGTTAGTTCCTATGAAAGTTGCACCTGAAATACTTCATATGGCTTAGTACTGTGCTTTTTAATACGGTGTTTTTCAGGGATATTGCAATCTTTTCCAGAGGATGGTTCTATATCTTTTATTTCTTACTGGTGAAACTGATAAATAAAGGTCTCCTGACGTGTGAAAGGTCCCTGTAGCTGCATCTTTCTCTACTTGATTACAGAGTAGGGGGACATATCCTGGATAGTGGAACCAGGCTGTGTCCCCTGCCCCTAGCGGACTTCTGTCCCGTGCCAGCTAGGACTCTTTGGGCGGTAGGATAGCCTGGGGACTCTGCCGAAAGTGCACAGCACGTAGCTACCTCCTTTGGGAGGCTTAGAAAGTTTTAGTGCTGTGGATACCACTCCCGTGTGCTGCTTGGCCACGGTGTCAGAGCGTGGTGCTGGGCACGTTTGGTTTACTAGTGCAGGTATGGTTGCCGGGAATTAGAGATGAGGATGAAACCTGGAATTCTAGAATCTTAATTGCTGTCATCTAGGCGTTGACCTCTATATCTAGATTTTTGAAAATACGTTAGTATTTGGAATTTGGTGTTTACGTAGCAAAAAGATTCAGAAGCGGTCACCTTTGGTAGGCTGTGTTTTCTAGTAAAACCGAGGCACACAGCTTTCCGTTTCCGTGAGCTTTAGTGGCTGTCTCGAGGTGTTTGATCTCCCTCGCGGGCTGTGGCAGATCTTTGGCCTGGAGTCTGTTCTGAACCTCCCAGGTAAGATAAGAGCATAATCATATCTTAAGATGCTGCATCAGCAGCTGTTACCATAGGAACTGTAATTAATAGATGGAAAAACAAAATGAGCTCAACTTTAAACTTTAAACTCACACTTGTCGGAGTAAAAGGAGCATGGCTTTTTCTACGATGTTGTTGACTTTTTGTACTGATAGGATGTTGTTCTTCTATCAAAGCTTGTAGATAGCGATCAAGGTGTTTTGGTACTTGAG